ATTTTAACTATAAACTGTAATTTTGCTAAATTTGAGATGTAGTTAATATAAAATAAAGTATATTCTCACAATGAGATCGTTGGCAATCTAGCTAAATTGAATCAAATTCGCAAAAATGTCATATAGCCTTGCAAACGTGATCTCACAGTACTACGACACATGTTTACAGCTATTTGCCTACTTTTTGTGTACCAGCTTCGCTTGTATTGTTGTTGAAATGTGTGTGAAGGTCAATGAGTACAGGATAAATATTAGGCAATAATTATTGTTATTGTAAGCTTTGGCCACACGCATAGTTAAAAGGCAAGTTATTTCGAGTAATAATAATAAAAAAAAACATTCCCCAAATTGCTGTCTCCTTCAAGTTGGTAACTGAACTTACAGTTCTACCAACATTTAAAAACTTCCTTCCTGTATCGAGGGTGACCTAATCTGAAAATCGAAAACTTTTAGTTTAATAGGATAGGTCTTTACAGGCAAACAACAAACAGACAAATATACGATCTCCTTGTCGGAGGTTAAGATTGAAATTACGATTATATAGGCATTTTAAAAATAATGTTATAATTTCGAGAAGTTATAATGTATACAACTTGGAGTGTATGTGACGTCATCGTCTATGCAACAGAATAATTACAGGAATGTAATAATAATAAATACAATCCATTTAAATTACAATTAATTATTTGCATGTGTATCCATAAACGTATTATTTGATATATGTCGTGTACGTGATATCAAAAAAAATTATATTTCGTATTTATCTGGAAAGTGTATTCTACAGTGTTCAAAAATACCATTGTATTTTGTCGTGAATGATTTTACTAACTTGGAGACTAAAACAAATCCTTGTCCATCAGTCGGATCCACTTGGACCTGCCATATCACAATTTCGATTTGTTTATTTGCGCCAAACCATCAGTTTCTTTTTCTCTGTTTCCGACTTTTGGACAAAAAGTAATGGATGAACAAGATAAATTGTCTGGTCTTATAATTACTTTTAAAATTAACATATCACAAGACATAATAAAATATGTTAAAATGATCAATATTTATATGTACAAAAACTAACGGTAACAATACATGAATACTGGAGCATGGGAACTGTGTGTAACACAAGTCTCATCGCTAATTGTGAAATGCAATGAAGGTGGTGATAAATTTTGACGCAAAATATATAACTATGAGACATAAAAATGTTAAAATACAATAACCTGCGCTATTTATTGACGTAATACACAGTGGGAATACTTGACAAAATTGAAGTTTAATCAGACATTTGCGTTGATGATTTACATGTGTATTGTTCTGAATCTGGTTCTACCTCCATGTTCTGATCTACCGTACAATCGTCAAAACCCGATGTGGAAATTTTCAGACACACGATTAATTAAAATAATTTTTTAAAGTACTTGGTAATGTAAATCACCTGAGCCTTTCAATGTGAGTGTATCAATCATTGTCTCTATTTACGCAGTAGTTACGCAATAAAGTATACAATTATACAAGATATAAGCAGATATACAGTTGTTTGCTTCGACCGAGTCGAATATTTAGAATTATCGTCCCCAAGTGGATCTTATAGGCCGAACACGAATACCAAAGATGATAACTGTTTTCTTAACTCGATATTCAACAACGAGGAAGTTATAACTGTGAACCACAACGCAAATATTTCGAGTTAAATTTGATTATCTGCCAGTGGAGAAACACATTTGAACGTTTGATGACAAATGTCCCGGATGTTGTGACATCAGAGGCCAGTGACACACAAAATGACGTCCGACAGAAGAAATACGCTAGAAGAGGCCAATATAAATATTTATCAAATGACTGTCTCATGGTATAAAATAGACAGGCAAAAAAATAATTATGTGTCAATTAAAAGCGACAGTAATTTGATTATCAAAAAAATCCTTATACATTAGATATAACGAGATTTATATGAATAAAATTTCAAATTTGAGATTCAAAACAAGAACAAGAACAGCGATTTCTCCCAACTAGGACATTATAATAGTATGACTATGCACAGTGCACACCTGTTTCTGGAATCAATTGCATCAACGAATGTCTAGATGCTAGTAATGTACACCGCGGTCAGCTCTTGACCGTGGATTTGATTGGTTTAATTTTGAATTAGCGTGGGAATGGACAATGCACGTGCATACTTTATTCATTGGGACTTTATTCAGCATGACATAATATTGTGCGTTTGACGTTTGCATAAATCTGAATCGGTAATGAGACATTACTAGCGTCGTAGCTAGGCATTGTAGTGAAGTGACGTAGTATTTGCATACCTCCCGACATGCGTAATGCTTGGATGTACCCTGATATATCTATATGAACGAACATTGAAGTAATGTGAGAAATAACAAGAAGGCTTTGAAAACATCTAACCAGCTTTGTTTAAATACGCTTCAAAATTCAGCGATTTACCTCGTTTTGTCTACTGTAATTTCTATATATTTACTGCAAAGCACAGTAAACAAATGTCAATGTTAATTAAACACGATTCTAATTAATAATGAAGTAAATAATGTTATACGTTAGGTACAAAGAAATACAAATACATTATTCTTGACATATATATTTAATTAAATCCTTCAGTGGTTAAAAGTTCCAAAATTATTGGCACGATTTGTTAGAGATAGATGTAATACACGTGACGATTACACAAAATCTTGTGACACGTTATGAGTAAGGACAAACACAGAGTCGACCATTCACATGATATAGAATCTCGAGAGAATTTTATGAGAGAGTGTATTCTGGTCGACCCCGTCATGACCTGTCACGACATTGCTTACACATTTAGAAAACGTACACAACAGTATTGGCATAGGCGACATAATGAATATTAAAGTGAAGACGTTATGAAATTTACTCAAATGTGAAATTTAGAATAAGATTAATAACTTAAATATGGGTATTTATCAAGACATGAAACACGTAGAGGCACAGAACAACAAAGAGCGCTTCATCACTGAAATTAACATAGCATACAGTGAAATTAACATATTCTTAATTAGATCAGTCAGTTGCTCACCATGTAACACAAAATGGAAAATAATGTATTTTCCGACCGGTTTTAATAAGTAAATTTATAATTAAAAAGATTGTGCGATGCCGTATCTAGTGAACAGATGTGAATTAATGTTATGGTCCTGCGTGTGGTCACAGTGATTCTACAAATTTGTTCCTTGAAATATATGTTATACACAGACCAAACTGTTGCAAACATTGCCCTCGCCGATTTGAATTATGGTCACTTTATTCATTGTTATTTGCACATCTTTCAACATTAACATCTGGAATGGCACGTAATTTACCAACATTTCCACTTACAGGCTGTAACGTCTCCGTCATGTGTGTGATGAAACCTGTTTCGCAAACTCAATAGATTTCATACCCAAACACACACTATACTTCCAGGAAATGGTCGTAGCTGTCTTGGCAGTGCGCCCTCAATGTGTTTTTTTTCGCATTCCTTGCCCCATCATCATCATCATAATCATCATCATCATCATCATCATCATATACTACGTTTCACTCCGCTATTTGGAGTATTATTTGTAACCCGTGACAGCCAAGTTCTGATACCGTCTCTGTTCCTGTCCATCCATTTTATATTGTCTTTTACTTTATTTATTGTTTTATAGAATTCCCTGGCTGCTACCCCTGGCATGTCCCAGTAGCGAGCACCAAACTCCAACAACTGGAAATTAAAAGAAGTAAAGTCACAAACCAACTTCTTCTCAGGTCACTTCGTAAAACCGGGATATTACATCACATGGTAACCTCGTACCACACGATCACTTCGTACCACACGATCACTTCGCACCACTCGATCAGTTCTTACGCTATTGAATACATACCTGTTTAAGATCGTATTCAGTGTTCATCCATGGATGGAAGTCAAATACAATAATATACGCGTAGTCATCAAATCTGGAATGGTAAACGAACGCATATTATGATTAATCATCAACATTGACAGGTTGCTAGGCAACTATACTTTAAAAAAAAATCATTTGATATTATTTGTATCAAAATTAGTGGATTGTCAGAGTATACAAGTACTAGTATCTCGTTAATGGGTTTTAATGTAACATACTTCTGACATGACATGTGATCACTGCGTCGCCCGGACAAACTGTCACCATTACTATCTCTACAAACAATAAAAACTTACTTCTGTAAAAGTTCCTCGAATTGCATCATTGCAAACTGCCACGCTAGAGTAAATCCAATGCCAGACTTGTCTCTAATGTTGCCTATTGCAGTTAAAGTTGAGTTTTTACCATGGTAACGCTCTAGATAACTGAATAAATAGATACAGAAAAATATTATTAACAACACTCAGACTATTTTGTTGTTCAAAAGAAATGAGAAATACTTATATATATTTAATGAATAGTGACATATTTAAAAGACATTTTTGTGTCAGGCAGTTGATTATTCGATTATGTATTGGATGAGAGCGTAGCTTTGTAAAGAGATGTAATGGATGGAAGGATAACGTAATACACTGTAGGGACATACGTCGTGTAATGGATGGAAGGATAACGTAATGCACTGTAGGGACATAACTTCGAGTAGTGAATGGAAGGATAACGTAATGCACTGTAGGGACATACCGTCGTGTAATGAATGGAAGACTAACGTAATGCACTGTCGGGACATAACGTCGTGTATTGGATGGAAGGATAACGTAATGCACTGTCAGGACATAACGTCGTGTAATGAATTGAAGACTAACGTAATGCACTGTAGGGACATAACGTCGTGCAATGATTGGAAGGATAACGTAATGCACTGTAGGGACATAACGTCATGTAATGGATGGAAGAATAACGTAATGCACTGTAGGGACATAACGTAGTGTAATGGATGGAAGAATAACGTAATGCACTGTAGGGGCATAACGTCGTGTAATGAATGGAAGAATAACGTAATGCACTGTAGGGACATACCGTCGTGTATTGGATGGAAGAATAACGCAATGCACTGTAGGGGCATAACGTCGTGTAATGGATGGAAGAATAACGTAATGCACTGTAGGGACACAACATCGTGTAATGGATGGAAGAATAACGTAATGCACTGTAGGGACACAACGTCGTGTAATGGATGGAATGATAACGTAACGCACTGTAGGGACATAACTTCGAGTAATGAATGGAAGTATAACGTAATACACTGTAGGGACATAACGTCGTGTAATGAATGGAAGAATAACGTAATGCACTGTATGGACATAACGTCGTGTAATGAATGGAAGAATAACGTAATGCACTGTAGGGACATAACGTCGTGTAATGAATGGAAG